TTGGATATTTATAGTATACAACTTGTCCTGTTAGATGCACTGCTTCTGCTATTTGTTTAGATTTTCTTGGATTTTTTTTCTTTTTACTTCATAACCCTGCTTTATATTTCCCATCTGAAGACTGAAGCACCACTTGGAATATTCAATTGGTGGAGTTCAACAGTAAAATAAGGCAGCAGAACACCAACAGATTGTGAACTATATGTATGCATTTAGGGGTTTGCCATGCAAAGAAAGATTTATAATGTAAGGTATCTGTTAATCATTCAAAATCTGCTATCTGGATAAAGAGTGAATTGTACTGGAAGTCTGACTGGTAACAAAAAAGGTATCTTGGCACAGAATATTCTTAAATTTTGCAGAGTATTTGTCAGATTAGTTTATGAGTATGCCTGTCTTGCTTACCTAAATGAAGCAAAATTGAATTTCAAATCTTTTAAACTTTAAACTGTAAGTTTTATCTTGAAGTAAAAAATTATCAACTTACTGTCCATCATCAGACCATGGGGCTGAACACTTGTCTCCAGGTTGCCAACTGTATTTGATCTGCTTTGGACCAGTTCCAGCTTCTTCAGTTAATGCTGCTGTTCCAACTGTATCACTTGAACCAGCTTTAAGAAGCTCTTGTGTTAAGTTTAAGACTTCCTAGAATACAATTTTCCATTTTAAAAGTTTCCTTTAGTTCTCATTAACTAAATACTGATGGGGAATGTTATAAACTTTAAACAAGTAGAAAGTCTAACAAACACTGAAATACATAGAGTTTACATTAATCCACAGCTTACCAATGCTCCATCTTTGAAGAGAAAATTATTTTATTAACTCCTATTCTGATTAATTGTTTTCAATCATTTTTATCTTATGTGCTAAATTTAGTTCAAATAATCATCTCTTGTAAATAAATCAGCTATTTCATTATGCAAATTTTTGGTGAAATACAAAGCCCGTGGTTTCAGAAGCAAAGATGTTGCTGTCTGGTTTACATTCAACTCAGAACACACCTTGTGTATTCACATGTGGAAGGTGAGGTGGCAAATTTGATGAGAGGTAACACAGTACAAGGTATGCTGGGAAGGGGACAATGAGAAATAAGCCAACTGGATCAAATGATGAACCCAATTGGTGAGGGTAAAAGGGGGGAGATCTCTGGACAAAGAGGGTTGTCAAAGGATAAAGAGACAGGAACAGGAACCATGGAAGGAAGCTGTGCGGGCAATATAACAACAAAGAGCACACCCAACACATAGAAGCTGAAACCACGATATGATGTAAATAATGGAAAATGAACGTGTTAGGGTTGGTCCATTTACTCTATTGTAGGATTTCCTCCAGAGGTCGACGAAGATGAGGTGTAAGATTTGATAAGAGGTAACACAGTACAAAGTATACTGGGAGGGAACAAGCAGAAATAAGCCAACTGGGTCAAAAGGGGAGAAATCCCTGGACAAACCAACAAACTGTGAAAAAATGAAATCTAAACCCACATAGACAGAACCAGCACTAAGCCACACCTCAATGTCAATGGAACCAGTCCCAATGAAGACCTGTGAAACCCAGACCCGAGTTTCCAAAAAAAACAAGAAAAACACAGACAGACAAACAACCTATCAACGACAACCGAAGCCTCCCTCGAACATCAAGAAGACTGTTATTTGTGACCCATCGCCCGCGATACGCCAAATCCGATGACAATCCCCCAGTCACCACATTGCCATGATGACATACATGAACCTTATGTTGACCAAGATTACAATCAGATGTTTCTGTCATTTCCATAGACCTTCAATGACACAATATGCTGATATATATATATATTAACCTTGTTGTTTTCTTTTCCTTTCAGCTACCACCAAGCACAGTCACGGTATTTATTTGGCCATGAAAGTGGGTTTTCTCGGGGTACTCCCATTTCCCCCCACAGCAAAATTATTCCTATTCAGATATTTTTGGATCCTGTGATCCCAACCCTGAAAAGAGACCATAGTAAGTCTAAGTTCAAGCTAAAAATCTAAGTTCAAATCAACGTCAATAATAAATAACTCCTTTCAAAATTAAAAAGCAACACTGCAGATAAATGCATTCTTACCATGCAAGCATTTATCTTCAAAACACTAATACTCATCCAGGAACTCGTTGCTCATGTGACAGCCTTGGTCCTTCCCACTGACGTCGGATATCAAAATGCTGCACCGATCTTCCCCGACCTTCTTCATGGCTTCCCGACGACAACACAATCCACAACTTACAAAGAAATCCAAGAGATAACATTAAAATTCACTAAAAGAAACAACATTCACGAGCGGGTTGAAGGGAAACAAAAGTTCCCAAGCACCTCAGTTTGGAAGGGAAGACAACCTAAAAGCTTCTCTTCTCTTCCTTCAAACTAAATAACTGCCACAATTAGTTTTTTTTTTTTTGACAAAGAGGGTTGCCAAGGGATAAAGAGAGGGGAACAGGAACCACGGAAGGAAGTGTGCGAGAAGTATAACAATGAAGGGCACACACAAGACATAGAAGTCAATCTGGATTGGGATGGGGGTAGAGATGAGAAATAGAGGGTAGAGAAAGAGGCAAAAAGGAGTTACCCTCACAGAGCCACTGAGGTTTTGGGGAGGAAGGAACGATCTGGAAAAAAGAGAAGATAGGTATGGTGGTAAAGAGTGCATGTATCGTTGATGGCGATCAAGTAAGACTATTGATGTCCACAGGCCAGAAGAAGGAAATATGCCTTAAGGGACAGGTGAAACAAAGAACACGAGGATATAAGTTCGAATGGAGGTAAAGTAAGGGAATGGAAGACCACATTAATATCTCAATCTGGAAGGGCAGGTTGCTGAGGAGGTCAATAAACCCAGAAGGAATGGATAACATGGTAAGGATGGGTGAGAGAAAAATCCTGTGGTAATGGGAAAGGCTAAAGGTATGGGATAAAGCTGACTGATTACTTGAAATCGAGGAGACTGAAAACTCACGTGAGAAACTCGGAAACACCAGCAACAGTAGGGCGAGCAGTCGGAAAACCCTGAACCTGGGCCCACATGCAAAAGACCTTCCACTTTCACTGATATGCTTCCATGGAGGAAGGAAGGATGGATTAAGCCAAATGAGAAGCTAAATGACAGGAAACCAGATCTCCTTGCCAATAACCAGACAAAAGTCACGAGTGAAGACAGAGGACTTGAAGTGCGGGAAGTGTAGAACTGTTGACCGGGATTGACAAAGCAGGTTGGATAATAATGTAAGTGGTACTGGAGTGGCATGGATCAGGGAAACTACCCAATGAAGTAATCGGATAGGAGGAAAAACATATAGGAATTTGTGTGCCCAATCCTGGCTGAAAGCATCTAGAGACAAAGCCCGAGGATGAGGAACCGAGGACAAAAATAGGGGTAACTGGTGACTGAGGGCAGTGGCAAAAGCATCGATGTGAGGAACATCCCACAGACTGCAAAGCCACCGGAAAACGAGAAGATGAAGGGAACACTCTGTCGAGTAAACCTTGTTGGGGCAGGAAAGATGATCCACCACCTGGGATATGACATTAAACTAATGTGTTGTGCATAGGCCCAATAGAGGACATCCAACATGTGAAAACAGAGGAATCTCAACTGGGTGCCGCCTTGGTGATTGATATAAGCCACCACCATGGAACTGTCGGAATGGATCATTACCAGACAATATTTGGCAATGGGAAGAAAGTAATCCAAAGCATGACAAACTGCTAGGAGCTCTAGGATGTTGATATGTAAAGATTTTTTGGCTAGAGACCAACGACCTGAAGCCTCCTGGTGATGGACCCATGCAACCCAGCCTTGAAGGGATGCATCTGTAAACACATGTAAGTCTGGATGAGGAGGAGGAAACAGGACACCCACCAATGTGCGAGTCTTGTCCAACCACCAAAGGAATTCATCTACAAAAGAAGGAGGAAGGATGATAGGAGCATCTAAGGAATTCCAAGCAAGGTTCCATTGAAGGGAGTGCATGCATGCATGGCCAATGGGGATTATGGTGTCATAGAATACCACATTCTCAAAAGCGACAGAATCTTGCATGCAGAAAGTGAGGGAGCAGACAGGGCGTGGTGAAATGACAATTCCATAGAACAAAGTCTGAGAAGAGAAGGTTTGACCCAACTGAGGCGAGTGTTGAAAAAGACACCCAAATGTACAAGGTATTGGGTAAGACTTAGAAAGGACTTCTCCAATTTGATTAATCAGCCTACCCGAGCAGCTTCATGAAGGAGCTGATGAGTGTGACAGGGTAACTTCTGTTTGCAATAAGCCAGAAGTAGCCAGTCACCCATGTAAAAATAGAAATGCAGCCCCAGGGCATGAAGATGAAGAGCAAAATACGATTTGAAACACAAAATCAGACAAAAAAAGAAAGATATTCAAGTGCAAGTGCTGCCAAATGACAAGTGACAGTTCAGTAGAGGCACATAGAGGAAATCACGTGTGTCATGTGAGTGAACTATGATCATATTTGTGGACAGATGACGCATGATGATCTGCATAAGACACACGTTGGAATCATTTGATTCCAATAGGGAGGTGCGGAAGGCTTGCAGCATGCATAATAAAAAAGTTCGTACATAGAAGGCAGCAATGAATGAGAATAGCTAATCTTATGAGGGGAGGGAAGTACGTATCGGAATATACAGGAGGAACTGGATAGAAAATTTAAAAACTTGTTAATATGTAACTTTTGTAAAAAAATGATTAAAAACTCTGGATAAATAACATTAAAAACCTTTCTAGTGACACACCAGAGAAAATTAAAACACAAAATGTCAAACAATGTAATTAAAAACCAAATAGTTCATAAAAAACACTAATACATCCATCTCAGGATTAAAATCTGTACACACTACTACAACCAAAAGCCTCCACTTTAATTGTTCTCCCACACCAAATTTAATTAAGCAAAAAATTTGAGTTGTCAATAAACTTAAAAACAATAAAGATATCCAAATACTGACTAAGGAGGAGAAACTGTGATTCTAGATTTAAAAAATAATAATATGACATTAAATTCAATGAATTATTAAGTGATTCTATGGTATACAAAAAAAACTGACAGAAAATCCACACTTGTATGGCCTTCTAAAAGTCCATGCAATAACCTACCATTTCATCAAATTCAGTTTCATCTATTCAGCCACATATAATCTGTCTAAATACCACAGATTTATTATGCCTTTTAGTTGGTAATAATCAATATTTAAGAAAAAGTTTTGAATT